GTGGCTCCTTCGGCGGCGCCGCTGCTCGAGCTGAGTGTCTTGCGGGTGAACAAGAATAATTATTTAATTCTTAACAATTAATAATTAAATTTAAATGAATTAATTCCATAAACACCTCAACATTTCCATCTTTCCAGCTCCTTTACCTCGAATGGTCTCAGCCACCTCCCCACCCAGGTCCACCGCCTGACCACTGGTCACCTCTGCTGCTGCGTCCCTTTTCATCCAGCATTTCCCTGTGTCCCCCTTAAACCCTTCAATGGCTGTCCCCTGGTGCTCCCTGACTTCAGGAGGGCCCCCCTTTCGCCCCTTTGGGGGCCCCCAGCAGCTCCTGGGGGGCTTGCTGCTGAGGCTGGGGGGCCCCCTGCTGCGCCTAGGGGGGCCCCTGCTGCTCTCCTTTGCCCTTCCTATATGCCCCCTTCCTGCCGCCTCCAACCCTCTGAATGCAGAGGAAGGGGCCCCCCAAGGGGCCCCCCAGGAGGGCCACCAGGGGGGCCCCCAGACGCCTGTGGGGCTCCCCGAAGGGGCCCCCAAGGGGCCCCAGGGGGCCCCCGACGGAGCCCCCATAAGGGAACCCGGGGGGGGCCCCCACTTGCTGCGTGCAGGGGGCACCCCTGTAGGGGGGCCCCCTGTAGGGGGGCCCCTGTCTGCAATAGTAGCAGCAAGTGAAGAGTTTGAGGACCTTCAAAGCAGCACGGGGGGAGAGGGGCCCCACAACCCTTATGGGGGCCCCCCAGGGAGCTCGGGGGGCCCCCTGGGGGCACCCAGCAACTCGCCTGTGTACCTCTTAAAGGCCCTGGAGGAGGGGCCCCCCTTGGGGGCCCCCCAGCACCCCAAAGGGGAGTGGGGGCCCCTCTTTGTCGCGGGATGTGTGGTTGCTGCTGCTGCTGTTCTTGGGCTTTTTACGTTTTGCTGCTTCGCAGCAGCAAGACGCGCGCGAAGGAAACAAGCAGCAGCAGCAGCAGCAGCGGGAGCAGCAGCAGCAGCAGTTGTGGTGGAAACAGAAGAAGAGTACCCGGACTCCAGCGTATTTCTCGTGGGTCGCTGGGGGTGGACTACTGCTGCTGCTAGGCACTGCAGCAGCAGCAGCAGCAGCAGCAGGCTGCGGCTGCCCTCTCCAGCAGACATATGCCCGCATGATGTGTCAACAACAGCAAGTGGGGCCCCGCCTTGCTCTTCCCCAGCAGCAGCAGCAGCAGCAGTAGCAGCAGCAGCAGCAGCAGACGAAA